GGGGAAAAAAATGATGCACCAGCTTAAGTTCTAAGAGGCCTTTTAAATTTCTCACTTAAGGTTTTATCTAGATTTAGCTCATGGCCAGGTACAGCCGTATCTATGGTGTTTACAGTGGCATTTGGTATTGTCATAGAATAGCCTGGCATAATTTTAACAGTCATCACCAAAAAGGTGGCAAGAGAGGGGCCACGCAGCCCAGCAGAGAGGGCACTAGCTCAAGATCCAGCAAACGCCTTCATGACTCTCCGTAGTGTTTGTGGCCTTCGTCAGGTCACCGACTTCTTTCTGTCTAGCTTTTTCAGTCCTTCCCTTTTGCCCATTTTATTTGTATTTAAGAACAGGGACTCTCTTTCCTTCCATGGCACCTACCAGAGTCTCAGTAAAGCCTCTCGCTGCTGTTGCTCTATGAAGCAGATGAGATCTGAAGCTACCTGTACCATGCCACATCACACAAAACCACCACTGCTACTTTCTTCAGGTTGACACTCAAGTGTATTTGACATACTTAAGTGTTAGATCAAAGAAAAATTTAAAAAACAAAACAAAATGCCACCACTGCCTGTCTCAGATGGAGATATTGCCAGAGGTTACGATAAGGAATTCTCTTCCTGCTCATTAAAGAAGCTGTAGGATATTTGCTGTCCAGGCACGTAGGTCAAATTCATCTTACATCAGAAGGTTCCAAAGCAGAAAAGCTGCAGTTCTGTAGTGATGGCAAAGAGACAGCAGAGAGAATTATTTGCCCTGCTTGGCATAGGGGAGCTGGTGGAGCCAGCAGGGTCTCCAGTTAGGTCCAGCCACACCTCTGGCTCTTGCCAACTGCTGCAGATACAGCAGGGCTTTAATGCATCTATCTCAACAATTTTATAGCAGCCAAATTACTTTGATATTTCTCTTTTCTGGAAGAAAGACCTTGGGATGAATGGATGTTTCATCATGGTCAGGAGACAGAAAAGTGCTGCCCAGATGCTGGCTGGCAAACAGCAAAGCACCCATAGTGCCTAGTAGCCCCATGCAGTGGGACTCCCCTGCTGTGCAAACAGAAGAGTATTGCTCCAAAGGGCAAACTGGAAGTGTATACAAAGAAAAGCAGAGGATGTAGCAATACTAAAGGTATTTTTACTGCATCGTATTTACTGTGGTAGGCTTGAGGCTGCTTTATACAAAATAATTAAGGCTTTTAGCAGAAGCACAAAACTGAAGCTACCAAGGGAAATATCACAGAAGCTTTACAAGTAATAAATTCTTCATCTGGGATAGTCAAAACTCACTTCATTGTAAAATACAAGTTCAGGTTAGTCAGATCTAGTCTGATGACAAACCATCCAGTTGCTTTTGTATAAATGTGGCTTTATATTATTGACCAGATTAAGAAGGATGTGGCCATGGCGTGGAGCCACTGGTGCCAAAGTCCACCCCACCAGCAGCTTGCGTGGAGGCTTGTCCCATACTGCTCCCCTTTCCCAGTGAGCAGGCCAGCTGTTAACATTTCCTAAAGATTTTTAACTTAATATAGTTTCAGCTATGAAAGCACCTTCTTTTTTTAACATTTATAATTATTGCATTATCTGTATCTCTCTTTCACAGGATCCTTCCATCACACTCTCCTTCTTTGGTTGCTATAACCCAGCTATAATACATACAATAATACATGCAAGGCTGCAAACTCACCCTTTCTGAGGAGCTCACTGCTATGGTGGCAGGGGCCTGAGCTGAGGTGCTGGAGCAGCACCTTGGGACCATTCAGGTAGTCCTCTGATCACTGCCCTGCCCTTTACAGCCACAGAATAAAGATGAGATCGAGTAGCCACAAAGACTGAATCAATCCCTGTTGGGGTGGGTCAAGCATTAGGAGGTTTTAAATACTGTTAACAGCTTGCATTTGATCAAAGTGTCACCAGCCAAGTATTTTCATACACACCGTAGCCATCCAGTTTCTGTTGCTGAGAGTGGAGAAACTTTTATTAACAAATGCTGCCATGAACCACTCAAAAAATCAAGTTCAGCTGTATTTTCACCAATATTCATCACAGACCACACTCATCCAGACCCATGTAGCCCTTCACTAGAAGAAAGATCTGCTGTCCCAGCATGAACAAAACTGCTTTAGTAACAAATATATGTAAACCCCACAGTGTTAACCAGTCTGATCTGTGCTGCTCATATGGATGGGCTGACCCACTGGAGGCAGTGGAGTTTTACCATATGACTCAGAAGATGATTAGTAAATCACACACGCAGAGATGGTGGGAAATATGCCCCAGTCTATCCAAAAGCACAAAATGTCTCATTTCAGAAGCATTAAGCAGAGACTTACATGTGCTATCACATTTTCCTTGAAGCCAACAGCAATAGTGGGAAGAGAGTTGGAAGGAATAGCACTGCACAGCCTACTTTATAAAAACAGAATTTATTTTCTTCAAAATACTGGGACAAATATGCATTCCTCCACTGGGGCAAATCCAGCAAAATTTGAGATTAACAGCCCCTGGAAGTACTCCATCCCCAACACCAGGCATAGAGTTGTTATTGCAGCTGTTGGACCAGTCCCTCCTCTCCACCATGAGCATAGCAAGGTAGCCAGAAACAGAAGGAACTGACATCTCTACATCAAGGACTTCAAGCTCCCAATCAGACCATCTGGGCTTTAAGATGAAAGATTTGAACCTTGCAGCCACCTTTCTTGGATAAAAGCTCTTCCCCACGTCAGCTCAGCCTGCCCAGCACAATGGTGCTCTCCTCGCTTGGCCCCTTGTCACACAACTTGTTCCTCCATCACAGCAGTGGTGTCACCCCATCTGGAGCCCGTCATGCAAGCACTGATACTACCTACAGCAAATAGTCTTTCACTTTCAACATTTACAATTCATTTTCATAAATTTTCTCAAGTGCCACACAATAACAAGTGACACTAAAAAAGCACCAGTTCCTTCCTGTGTCTCCCTCTACTTAACTTTTTCTCGTCGTCAGGAGATTTATGAATTTAATCTCTGTTTTATAGAACTTATCACTTTTAACAACTAGAAGAAGAAAATGCTAAATTGTTTTTATTGCTGTTAGACGTTCAAAGACATCACGCTATACATTGTCATTTACATTTCACATTAAAAGTTAAATATGTTGGGAATGCGCAAGTATTTGTTTTAATTTGACACATCTGTTAAATGAGAAATAAAGAGGACTTCTAAATCACCACATTTAAATTCAGCGATTTGTAAACAATTTGTATGTTCATTTCTCCTGGGTTAAAACTGCCCTAAAGCATCACTCTTATGAAATCTCCAAATTAAATTGCTTTGCATTGTTCTCAGGGAAGCAGGCCACAGTTCCTTCCTCCTCACTTTATTAATTTATTTCCCAATGCAAGTAAATTAGCAAGACTCGTATTAAAGAGTCTTGCCACTGAAATAATTTTGGGGAATTCACGGAAGTATCTACTGGCTCCAGAAAGCTGAGAGCACAGAGAAAGCATCAGATATTGGGATAGCAAATTCTCTTAAGATAAAGGACAAGCCAATCACTTTCATGTAGTTTTTTAACACTTCTGCAAGCAGCACTAGGTTGGCCCTATTCCACATCAGACCATCACCAAGCAAGAACCACAATCAAGGAGGGGAAGAAAAGCCACAGCAATTTACTTTCATCTCTCAACCTAGCTAGAACTTGCTACATAATTTGGATCTCAGACTGGGCTTTGACGTAGCTGTGGATGATAATTTACAAGGCAAGAGAGATCCACAGACATTTAAGGATATTTCGCAGTAGCACTTGAAGAGCAGAGCCTTATCTCTTTTTCAGCTTTGTGCAACATGCTGGTTTTAGCATTAGCTGCTAAGCCTCTACCCCAGAAATCAGTACTTTTGGTGGAGTAAGGATACAGAGTCCTTTTAATCACCCAGATACTGGGTCTCTCATCCCAGACTAAGAGACACCTTGTGCAAGGAGGTTTCTTCATTAGGTGTACACCCTGAGCATGAGGAAGAGCTCTGCACATCCTGGCGTGTCACATCTCCCATTTGAAGCCTTTGTCACTCTCTCTGCTGGTGGAGTGTGCAGCTCCACCCTTTCCTAAAGCCTTTGAATCATGTGCTTTGTCTGGATGACAATTTCACCATGTTCCCAACTCTAATACGGGTGCAGCAGAAAACGAACTGGGTGCACCCAGCAGCTTATCCCGCAGCTTCACATCCCAACCACAGGCCATGGCAAAAGCAGGTACTTAAAGCTGTAGAAGTGGAAAGACCCACAAGTTTCAGTTTCCCCTCTGTAGTATCAAGCAAAGCACCAAAAAGCAACACAGAATACTAGGTCTACTGTGCATTCATACTCTAGATGGTTCATTTATTATATCCAGTATCATATTAAGCAACCCAACAAAACAAGAACTAGCATTAATTCAGCTAGGACATGATTAAGGGTGTCTCGAAGAGCATCAACAAACGTGGAGACTACATGGATCACAGCCCAGAAAGATTCCAAGTTGGTGAAATGACAGCTTGATTAGTTTTTGTCTGACAATTGTGGAGAGAGAGATCAGAATCAAACATAATTACAGGGTTATAGGCCTTCAAATAAAACCAGGAAAAGAAAAAAAATTCAAAGAGGGCAACAGCAGTTCGCAAGACCAAATCAAGTCTCCAGCCCAGCTTTCTTAATGCCTGGATTCAACACAGCCACAACTGCTGAGGCTAAACAAGTATCCTCCAGGGAGCATCCTGAATTAACAGCGACATGCCTTCGGAGCGGGATGAGCTTCAGATCTTGCAAGACAGTCTTCCCTCCCATCAAGAGCCTTACTAGACATGCACATATTTGTAACTTAATGGAAAAACATGCAAGTAGAGCTACTTTATATCCAGGCAACCGTTGCCTATTGCTAACCCAAAGGTCAAGCAGCAACACCCTGTTACCCATGTTGCCGCACGTAGGCATGCGGTATAATCAAACGACATACACAGCAGACAGTAAATGGATTTTTCCTTATTCTTCCCTCCCACCTGTTCTAATGACAAAAAGAGCGAGTAAAAAACATGCAGGAAAATCAGGTTTCTTAAAATATATCATTGTAGCTAAAAGTACCCCTCTCCCTCATTTTGCACCAGTTGCAAATCATACATCCCTCACTTGGGAGAACCTGGTCAGATAAAACGGAAGCTTCTGGGCTCCTTTCCCATGTGAAAAAGGGGCAGGGGAAGGGAGGCAAAGCAGGATGGGGCTCTTACCCAGGAATAAAATGATCTGTCTCCTGGAGCTCTTGCCTTCTGAGCTCTCGCTTTTTCTTAAGTACTGCTCCTGGTGTCTTAGTCCACCCTTCACTGCTACAGTTCCTTCCTTGTGGATCATCAGGGTTTTCATCATGCTGCGGCACATGAAGGTGACAGATCCCAGCACTATGATGTACACGGTGAAGGCGCTGAAGATGCTGGCCTGAAAGACAGGCCACTTAGAGGAGAGGCTGGTACAGATGGTCATATTGTGCTTCAGCTCAGGGAGGTGGTGCCTTGGCATGGGCTTGGTGCAGGCAGTCGTACCTCTGTAGCCCTCAATGGTTTCCAGGGGATATTCTGTGCCCATGGCAAAGAGCAGGGGCAGAGCCACTATGACAGATGTCCCCCAGACAAAGGCAATGAGCAGCTTCACTGTGCGAGGTCCAGAGACTGACTTGAACTTGAAGGGGTGGCAGATAGCCACATACCTCTCAAAGCTGAGGGTGGCCACGTGCAGCACAGTGGCATAGCTGCAGGCTTCAAAGAGGAAGTAGTAGAGCTTGCAAGCTATGTTGCCGTTGGGGGTGGAAAAGGGGCTCCAGATGGCACTGAAGAACTCCATGGGCATGCCCAGTAGGATGACTAGCAGGTCAGAGCAGGCCAGGCTCACCATGTGGTCTGTGACCTCTTTCTGCAGGTAGCCTTTCTTCTGCAGGATCCTGGTGGCCTTGATGGTGATGCTGTTGCCCAAGATGCCCGCAACAAAGATGCAGACATACACTGAGGCCAAAGTGATCTTGATCCAAGGAGACACCTCAAACTCAGGGATGTGGCTATGGTCGATTAGATGAGAACAGTCCGAAGAGGATGTCTGTCCTGCCATGAGCAACCCCTGGGGGGAGGGGGCGAGAGGAAGAGCCTTCCTGCCCTCTCTGACTTTCAAATTCACAGCAAATAGACCCTTTCTTTCTCACTTTGTCCCTCTGAGTGAGACGCACAGGTCAGAGCAGTCAGGTACAGCAAACGAGTCTCAACTAGCCACACCTGTGGGCTTTGTCAGCAACAGCCACTGAGTCAATAAGCAGAGCAGGAAAGTGTTTCAGCTCTTACCTGTCTTTATAGCAAACACTTCTTGCTCCTTTTGGATTTTCCCCCTCTTTTCTCTACCAAGTGATGCTGCCGTTCTCCAGCCCTTTGCGATGTGAACTGCTCTCCTTTCAACACTGGCCTCTTCCTCTGCAAGCAAAAGCAGCTTTTGGTCCCAGCCCCAGCAGGAGGAAGTTGGAGTTTCTGTGTGGTTATAGCTGCTCTGTTAAGCATTAACCTAAATCTTGGCAATCCTTAGTCACTGGCAGCAAAGCAGGTACAGGAAAAAAAAAACCCAAAACAAACAACAAACCAAAACCACACAAAACCAACCACCGAAGTCTGAAATTCACTTCCTGTAATAGGAGCTCCTTCTTAGGGACAAAAAGAGGTGTTCCTCCTAAAGCTGTTAGCTTGGTGGGGTCAGGCTGAATGTATGAACAGGTACTGGAGAGAAAATATCTGCTCATAAGTTTAACATTAACTGGACTCCAGACTTTGCTTCTATATGTGCCAATGTCAAGGTGCTCCACATTTCCTTTAACGAGGACCTCGGCATCTGCCACAGCTGTGTTTGTTACGCAGCTTGTGCAGCCACAGACTGATTTACATCAATAGGAGGTTCTGGTTTTTAGTGGCCGATGATCAACTTGTAGCTTCTTAAAATAACTGTTTAGACTGTAAAGAGTCTTCTCACAAGTTATAAAATAGGTTGCACTCTAGATTTAGACACACCAATTGTTTGCCTTTAAATTTCCATCTTCTCATGTTAGATAACAAAAATAATGAAGTTGGTAATCCCAGTCATGCTCGTGCTTTCAAATAATCCAGAGTAGCAGGGGATGAAAATGTACTTCCCCCCTCCTGTGTCTCACCCCCAGGGGAATGAATTTAATGCACTCTTTAGTTTTAGTTTCAAACCATAGCACTGAAGGCTCCCAAGGTAACCCCTGGAAACATTTAATTAGAGGGTGTATATATGGATTAGGAAACCTTTAAATTACAATGCAAAATGGCCTAACAGCTTTTGCAGCTATAATCAAGAGAGAGGCCCAGTACAGTGATCTGCTCCAATACCAAATCTAAGGACAGTGGATTCACAAAGTGATTTTTATTAACTAGACAAGCTCATGTGACACTTTCAGCTCATGATAAAAGAGAAACATTAGAAAGCTGTTATTAAGCAGTCTCCTCACATTCAGTGGTTATCACTGTACCTCAGCAGCCCAAGTATATAATGAACAAAAGATGCCCAAAACAGGATAATCAGCACCTGTTTCTATACATTATTTATGCATTCCTGTTTCAGAAAAATCACCTCAAACCTTGCACAACTTCAAGCCCTGTAGTCCCAGTCATCTTTCCTTATGTTTGATAATTCACATTTGTTCTGCTCAGACAAGCTTTCTATTATTACCCAATTTCTTTCACTTAATTTTACTTTATAAAAGTGTGAACAAAGATTACATATGCATGACTGAATTGTGGAAATGAAGCTAATTAAAATTTGCTGCTTACCATCGAAAGGGAAAAAGAGAGAGAGAGAGCAAAAGAGAGAGAAGGCCCAGTAGGATTAGATATCCCCCTTTTTTCCACATCAATTATAAAATGCAGAACACAATTTTGCAGTTTTCAATATTATCTTTAGAACATACACAAAGTTTATTAACTTTCTAATAAAGAGCTGGTGCCACAAAGGGGATAGGAAGGAAAGAGACAATTGTGGATAGTCATAGACTGAGACCATTAAAAACAAATCTTACATAGGTTACTGAGCTAAAATCAGCAGATAGGTATAAAATCCCTATCATGGATTTTATATATCTTCTGGAGGGAGACATTTCTCCCCACCTAAATGTGCTTAATGCCCCTTTGTGGCATGGAGGATGAGAGCTCGTAGTTCATAAACTTATGATATGTGTAATGGTCTAATTTTAGGGATTTTGTTAAGTTTTACTTGATATCTTGTAGCAGTGAGTACCAGAAGTTACTTTTGGTGTTGTTGCCTTTCCCTTAGCAGTTTTGCAAGTGAATGTGGCCTATGTAGTGGTACCTGGGAGGATGCTCCAGGGAGTCCCTCCTGACCCAATCTGTTGCAATTGCACACCAGAACTTTGGCCCCCAGCACCAAAGAGGAGTCAAGAGCATTAAGGACAGAGACCACTGTATTTCTTTCTAAAATCAGCAGACACGGATGCTGCACACTGCGGCCAATCACTTGTCAGCCCCTTGGTAAGAAAACAGAGCATCTGGAAGATGCAGATGACATGGGCACAGGGTGTCATCTGGCTCTGCATGCCACTCACTTGGCCACAGCCATGCTCACCTGAAACCGTGCAGCGATGTCGCTGCTGGTAAGACAGGACACGTGGTAGGGGCCAGAGAAACATTGAGATGGAGCACGGCTTGTTGTCACTTTAGTATATGAGATGTTTTTTCACTTTCAGAGATAATAAAGCTGCTGTGATCATCCAGCCCAGTTCGTTATCCAACAGAGTCTATGAGGTGTCCTGAAGGGCTGTTTGCTTTCTTGCCTGGTCCTTGGATAACACCCTGGTGGAAGGCCTTTTGGGGCAGAAGAAAGCAGAGCTTTCTCACCCATCCTTTAGGCCACTGTGCAAACCTCACCCTCTGCACCTTGTGTAGTGCACCATCTAGCACCCCATCATGCCCTTGGGCCACTGGCTGAGCTTGAGGGCAGTAGGGACTGCAAGTCACTCAGTCCTTGGCCAGCTGCCATCTCATTAAAAGCCACGTCCCCCAAACTCCTCATGAGGCTGTGCCCCCGAAAGTGGCAGTTGGCACAAGTTGTAGCTGGAATGAATCATAGAATCATAGAATGGTTTGGGTTGGAAGGGACCTTAAAGATCATCCAGTTCCAACCCCCCTGCCATCAGCAGGGACACCTTCCACTAGATCAGGTTGCTCAAAGCCTCATCCAGCCTGGCCTTAAACACTTCCAGGGAGGGGGCATCCACAGCTTCTCTGGGCAACCTGTTCCAGTGTCTGACCACCCTCACAGTGAAGAATCTTGGAAGAACAAACTCATTTGCCAGCTGCTGTTGCACTGTAGGTAAATGGGTTGCAGATTAACCTTTTCCAGTGTGCAGGGGTATCACACCGCTGCGGCCTGACCAACGCTCTTGCTTCCCCAGCTGTGTAACGCCAGCACGTGGGGTGGCTCAGGGTGCCAGGTCTGCAGAATCACTCCATGGTTATTTCTCAATTACCGTACAGCACGGGAGCCAGGGGGCTCTGATTGGCAGACAGGCATTGCCACGCTGCCGTTATCTCTGCAGAATTATTTCTCGATTGCTGTGTTGTGAATATGCAAATCCACCCTAATTGGCTACGCTAATCACACTGCTCTGACTGGTTTCTGTTCTCAAACTGCTCAAGCTACTTGACAGGAACAAAGAAAATATCTCGGTTTCTTGCTTCCTTTAGCTGAAAAACTCTAAAACTTAAATGAAAAAGGAGAGATATCTCAAAAGCAAAGAAAATGAGGCTGTGGAAGGGATTAACTTTTTTTTCAGATAAAACCACATTGACTTTTTTTCTTGCCAGTCTTTACCATTCTCCATCTCAACAAACCTCTTGTCCATAGAATAGCTGTGATACCTTTGTCTTGCCAGTATTTGTTTAGAGAAAGCGAATCCTGGGCTTGTTCAATTCTCTTTGAAACACAAGGTAAACAAAATGAGATTGCTGTTCTGCAGAAGGCAGCTACTCTGATCTGCACAGACAGAGGGGAAAGTACTGTGGGAATAAAAGGAAGAAACAACACAGACACAAGTGAAGCATCCAAACGATTTTAAATGTTTTAAGAAATCAATTTGTGAGAGATAGCTCATGTTGGCTTTTAAAATTATTTTTCATTAAAAATTTAAATAATTAAAGACTGCATTCAGATAACCTAAGGTTTCTTTCTGTTTGCTGAAATCTAAAAAGCCTCTTCTTTACTGTTAAGATCCCTTTGTATTCTTCTGGTGAGTTATTCTTTAATTATATTTTTCTTCTTTGGAAGATTATGATGATAGTTAATAAGATGAATAAGTACAAGTCATTTGTGAAATTTATTTCTTCTTAATTTCCCTAAGAGTTTGGGTTTGGGCAACACAGTCTAACAACCATCGTGCTATTAACTGCTTGGCTCCTTTACTTCTGGCAACACGAGAGACTGGGTTATGCAATCTGGGCAATGGATGTGCTGTGTAACCTGCATATCCATAATGAATTCTAATCTAATTAGATTACCTCTAGAAAGATGACATAAGGAAAGCTGACATCTTTTATTTAACCATGTGCAGTGTTACCTGCTGTAATGCCATCCTCTTGGAATATGATATTGTGAGTGTTTGCTTATCTGGAGGATAGAGAAGGAGGTTTCAAATGTGCTTCAGGGATACACAGTAAAAAGTGATCCCTGCTCAAAATCGTTCCATCTAAATAAATAGATCAAAGCACTTCTGTGCTTCCAGTGTGTTTTACAAATTGGCAAGTAACATGAGAAGAAACTGGGGACAGTGAGGCTAAATGGTTTATCCAAGATACAGAAAATCTGTGCAACACCTGAGCCTCCTCAGCGATATGCTGGATCTCAGCTAACTTCCTCACATGACCCACAGCATATAGACTACAGAGCAAGAAATGCATTTACATAGCTCTGCAGTAGTTGCTCTGGTGGTTTTAACTGATGTTAACTCATATTAATTAAAACACATTTACAGCACCAAAACACAAAATTATTGTGCTTAGCCATATCTGGAATTGTTGAACAACATACCACCTGCTTTC